CTGTACTATATGAGATCGGTCGAAGAAAATTATCCTGGTTGTAAACCCGACCAGCGACGCGCATTGCAGTATTATCAGGAGTGTATCAAAACCAGGAGTTTTGATACACTTCTGGTATTATGCACAGTATAGGAAAAGCATTGTGGCAGAATGCTGTGGCCAAAGTGAAATTTCTAAGGCGGATTTTACTATGCACATCTCGATCTCTTCTGGGCATACCCCTTTCTATTTTCAGCGCGTAAGTTAGGCCGAAATAAATTATATTGGCTGGCAACGCGACCAGCGACGCGAGCGCCATTCCCATGTACATTGCACTGATCTCTATAATATAATCGATTATATTATAGAGATCAGTGGTACATTGGCATAGGGGAAGGATATTGTGGCGCCAAAGTGAAAAAAATATTAATTTATTCACCTGATACATATTGATTTAACGTCTTTTCGAGGGTTAATCACGTGCATTTCGAGTCGTCATGAGTTTTCAAGTCAAGGTTTGATTCCGAGCGCTGAATAGGCGCATTTCGAGACATTTGGCGTCATTTCGAGAGTTGAGTAGGTGTATTCCGATTCATTTCGGTGTTTAGGAGGTCCCGTTGGTTTTCAGTTTAGGCAAAGGTAACAAGTGAACAGTGACAAGTTGAGTTAGTTGCATAGAGTTATATATTAGACCCCTAAAATATATTAATACAACTCTATGGTTAGTTGACAACTGTGTTACAGTAAAAGTTAGAAAACAAGACGAAACCAGAATTTCCTGGGGAAATTCATTACGGGTAAATATGTCTCTAGGTTCGTAAATGGTGTGCGCAACACGCAACTCAAGATTGTGTAATGAAGTAGCATTGATATGAGGGATATCGCAGGGTTAGAGCTTAAAAAAAAAAAAACTCGCCAAACTGGGCGAGTGAGTCAATATTGAGTTATAAGTTATAAGTTCTTGACTTATAAGTTAACTAATAGGCTGTTGCTCCTGCAACGGTACCGTCGCCGATTTTTTCTCTTAAAGTCACGGTAGTGATGCCAGCGCCATCTATCGGCGAATAATAACAACCGTTGCTTTTGGTACGATATTATATATTCGATTTTATACGATATATACGATAACCCTAACCCTAACCCTAACCCTAACCCTAACCCTAACCCTAACC